GAAATGAGAAGAAAAAATGAGACTGATCATCGCCCGTTTTCACAACGTGTACCAGGATTTTCAGGTAGCCTAAGGAAGGATAATAAGACAAGACTAGTAAGACCTGTGTAACCAAAATGGTCCAAAACAAGTAAGTTGTACTGCGTTATGACATATAACCTCAGTCATTACTTTTTGTGGACAAGCCTTAGTTCCGCTTGTTCAGTATAAAGGTATTTGATAATTGTTTCCACCAGAGGGCAACATTGCATGTTAATTGCTGTCGCAAACTTCAGTTCGTACTTTCAAGTGTGCGTTTGCTCGCAAAGCCTTACAATATGATATCTGTCGGTGATATCGGTATATCAGGTAAAATCATTTTATTTGTCACATTACTTGAAGTTTGGTGGAGTACAGATGAGTGGAAAAACTTGCGTGCAAAGTCCCACAACGGCAGTGACCAAGTCTGATATCACGAGTGTGCTTCACAATAAGGCCCTTAACGTTGTAACTCTTCATTTCACGACTTACAGACATTTAAAGCCCAAAAGAACTGCATTAAAAATACAGAGGAAAGTACTGTATTCGTTTGTAAGCTCAGCCTTCACTCAGAGACTTCAGAGTGCCATAATCTCTTAAGTCATTGGAGCACACATGTAGGTAACGGAATGTAAATGGCAAGGTATTCGTAATCTTTTTCATAACAATCCCACTGTATGTTTGGTTATGATTTGTATCTGTCTGCACTCACTATATTCTTAAAATTACCAGTTACTGAGAAAATGTTATTTCAGGGCTTCATTCCAGAATAATATTTGTGAATGTTAGTGCAAGCAAAAACGAGTATTTTATATGCATGGTGAACTTAATCCTTCTATATAACTGGATATTTTACTGAATAATTCCAGTCCTATACTTAATCCCCTCTTAGAAATTGATCCAGAGAACTTCGATCACATTTCTAGTCATACACACTAAATGAAAATATTCCAACTTCTTATCTTGAGGAGGGTTGGGGTCGGGGCCTACCCCAGGCAGCACTGAGCAGGGATGCACCCCATGGGGCACGATGGGTCACCGCCATGCATATAGACTGTCAGCAATTCAGAGAACACAATTCCCAGAAATGCACTGGCATTGGACTGCAAGAAGAAAGTCACACAACACTGGAAGAACATGCACACTCAACACATGGAGCAGACGTGGGATTAGAGCCCACAACCTGCAATATTTCTATACCAGTTTTGCAAACTGGACAAAAAGCACCTTTGTATTAGATGGATTTTTTTTTTCTTTTTTTGCCTTTTCTATATATATTTGGTAATTATTGGTTATCAGAAATATATGATGATATGATGCGTAACATTGATTTTCAGTATAAGAGTCTTCCCCCGAGACCCCCCCCCCCTGCTTTGTTATATTAGTATAATCTTGATACATGCAATGTGCTGAGGTTCTTTTTTCCTTAAGTGACGTACCCAGCAGGGCTCAGATTTGCAGCTCTCTATTACTGCTGCAGGGGCCAGATCTGGTGGCTGGCTGTTCTGGGCTTCAGAGCAGTGTTGTCTCAGGGAGGAGAGGCAGCCAAGCTCGCTTGCGCGAGGGGTTTCGCAACAACCTCACACGCGTTTACTGCAAGGTGACGAGATGTAACGGCAGCCTGCGAACACTGGCCTTCCAGCAGTGCAGTGCTCTGATTGGCCATTTCACCTCGGCACCTCTTGGGGGTGTAAATGACCACTTCCTGATGTATTCTAACTAGGGAAGGTTTCAGATTATATTTTCATTGGTAATGAACCTAATAGTCGTAGGTTTCTACTGTCTCAGCTCGGTCACGCTGTTTAATAACAGAAGCAGGAAGGAAAACTGCTGCAACTGCTAAGTAAATACATGTGGATGAGGCAGATCTTAGGTCACAGGACTTAGGTGCTCCATGCATGCGCTGCTATGCAGTACATACAGAGTGCCACATGGGGGCGTGGTGGTGTGGAGCCCCAGTAGATAGCAGGGTAGTGTCATTGACCCAAGCCTGTGGTGTTAGGGCTTCGAATCCTGCCTTGGATCCCTATGTGTGGAGGTTCAGTGCTCTGCCAGTGCCGTATGAGTTCCCTCCCGTTGTCCAGTGACACACAGTTATGCTAATAAGCATCGGTAGATTGCCTGTAGTGTCTATGTGTGCCCATGTGCCCTGTATTGGATTGATATCCCATGCAGGGAGGTCCTATGCTGCCACAGGCTGCCCCATGACCCAATATTAAGTAAGTGTGGTTGGATGGATAGATAGGAGGAGAGGGAAAACCCCTGAAGAGGGAAAAACATCCACAGCGGACACTGGGTCAAAGGACTCCCTCCAGTGCTGATTCCCACACTACAGAGAATTTAAATCCCACCCCCCCCCCCCCTTCAGGAGCGGCATCTTGCACAATTACGGAAAACCCTGCCATGGAGCGCCTTCGGGAAACGCCATAGGCCACCGTGGATGCTTCCGGGAATTCTCCAGGCCGCCGCACCGGCCGCGCCGTGGGGAAGCACTGATGGCTTTAGCAGGGCAGGTAGACAAAGCCCTCGCGGCCACCGACAGGCCCTGGACCAGGCCTCCTCCTGACATCTGGAGCTTTTCTTGCTGTCGTTTTTGAGTGACTCACTATGTAGGAAGTCAGCGGGCCAGCTCCCCCTCCCCAGTCACCGCTCAGCCTCAGCTCCGCCACATCCCTGCCATTGTTGCTTTGTTTTTATAAAGTTCTCGCTGTTCTTGGCCTTCACAGTACTGTGTAAGTTTTAGGCAGTCAAAGGAAATGTATAAGGCTATTTATCTGGGTAGTAAATGTATATTTCCTCAGAAACAAACAGAATTTAACATATGGAATTTAACAGTAACAATAAAAAATACATTTCTTTTGTGCTCCAAAAAGTTGCTCATATTTTTGATGGCTAGATGAACACCGCTTCTGTTCCCAAACCTCTATTCAGCCATTATTTTTATTCATTAAGTTTCACCATCAGCTTTCTTGACCACTTAATTAGTTAAATAACTTAATGGGGCATCCATTCAACAACCAAGGTGTGCTGGTGGTCAAGTCAGAAACATACTGGTTTATTGGACGGTTGCTGCAGATACTGGGCTGATTTAGGAGAGGTTTTGAAATGGCTACGCTGGCACACTATGACAGACATAATATCGTGGTCTTACACTGACACGAAGATCATTTAAACATTTTTTTCCTTGATTGCCTAAGACCTTTGACAGTAATGTATCCTCCTGAAATTCGCACACTGTAATTAAACATGCGCAGTGACAGACTTGGGTCCTTTGCTGGATCTGCAAAGCGTTGGAGCTGAAGGAACGTGAAGGTGAATGTCCTGGTGTCAAGCAGGTGGCCACGGTGGATAGAGAGTCATTTATCAAAGATGAGACAATGGTGAAGTTTGTACACATCGCTTCCTCTTAGGGCATATAAACACCAGCCATCAGTCTATTCATGATATTTTTGTAGTCAGTCCTGAATGCAAACAGATGTAAATTATAGTTTAACTCTCCGGGACACTTCTGCAGGCTCTCAGAATATAATCATCCTGATAATGACTCTGTTTTTACCAGGTTTATCACTGCACTGTTCATGTAAACAAAACCACACGCACACCAAATTGCATAAGCAAGAGAATAGCACAAATTCATGTCCTTCTCTTGGGGGGGAAAGTTCTGTTGTATTTTTCCATGTAGTAACGACTTGGCACAAATCAAGCTGAACCGTACGGTGCGTGGGGCCTTGTGGAAGCCCCACTGTCACAAATGAGAATGTGGAAATATGCAGAAGTGCGGCAAACGTCACCTTGGTAACCCAACACACAGTGTACCAGCGGCAAGGCGCACAGTATTGCGTTAACGAGCTATCTTTCAAATTCATTTTGATATAACTAGGCAGTCCACTTCTCCGCAGCTGTGTCTGGTTTTCACTTTATCTGCCTGAGCTTTATGAATTTTGTGCATAAATTTAGCCTTAACAATTTATTAGATATTTTAAGGATGCCCAATAATTGACAACTAAAGGTATAAATATAAAGTCTCTCCAGAGTCTATATATCACCAGGAGCGTCTTCTGGGTTCCTGGTGAACATCACATATCAGGTAGATGAATACATTACCATCTTTCTGCACCACTGAAAATGTATGATCCAAACAGACAAACTCCAGCGTGTCCTGTAGGAGTGAAAGCAGGATGTGATGCTTCTGGGTTTAAACAGCATCATACTTTTCTGTCTTTTTTCTTTTTAAAGAAGGCTGATGTCAAAGTGGCAGAAAATGATAGAATCCTTCCAAAATGTGCCTGTGATGTATGTGTGTTGAGTGCGATGCTTTGGACGCAATGGATAAAACATCAGTCTGTCCTTGCGGCTTTCCAGGGCAAACGTAAGTGTTTGTTTGTTGTTGCAGGAAGTCCTTGACAGATCCGGCCCCGGCTGGACACAGCTGATCCTGAGAATTCCCTGGGGAGTGCGCTGGATGGGATGCTTCAAAGCCCCCCCCCCCCCCCCCCCCCCCCGGCTCGCAGCAGGAAGCCCCTCCCCGTGACAGGAAGGCACTCCATGAATAGGGGATGGTGGTTCCCTTCAGACGTGGAGCGGATTTGCCAAGAGCTGGGAATGCAGTCAGGAGCCAAGTGCCAGGGCGGACGGGTGGGATGGGGGGGGGGGGGACAATGCTCAGCTCCTTGGAAGCGCACTGGTGGGTGGGGGCTGCTGGGGCCCGAGGTGGACAAATTGAATCAAGATGGAGCTGGATTTTGCAAGATGGGAAAATTTGTTACTTTAATGGCCTGTTTCTCCTCCAGCAGCTGATGCAAAAACTATGAAAACCAGGACTGTGTCACCGACGATATATGATAATCAATAGTGACTCATAAACACAGCTGTTTACCAGACTGCCAGCAGGCTATTCCAGTATTGATGCTACATACAGACAGAGCCATCAATAGATAGCATCATGTCTTATAGCTTTAATGATGGAGATTTCAGAAAGGTCACGATTTTCTCGGCCTTTTGGGTAAGATCAAATGTAGTATCTGTTCTTATAAGTTCAGTACCTGATACACCCTCCATGGAGGGGGACCGTGTATTATACAAATTTTTGGCAGAGGGACCCAGAAGTGGGACTTGCCCCGTCTGCTCCACGCATCGACCCGGGTTTGTGGTGCCTGCAGGAATGGTCCACCCCTGCTTCCCCAGGGGCTCTGTGGGGAGAGCATCCATGCCCCTGATCAGAAGATCACTAGTTTGATCCTTGCCAGAATAGTCACATGTCTGTGGGCCCTTCAGCAAGGCCCCTGACCCTCAGCTCCAGGGGATCTGCATGCTGGCTGTACGAGTCTCTCCTGGGGAGTAAGATTGGCAGGCAAAGGGAAGCATTCCAAAGTACAGGATAATGTGTAAATGGCAAATAAAGGGTCATTTAATTTTCGCTGTGGCCCCCAGGCCCTGCTTGGCTCCCCCCGCTGTATGTGTGAAGCCCCACATACTCTGTCTCCCACCCAAAAGCAATAATATTAAAAAATAGTAAATTGATAACTCAATTTCAATTTGTGTTCTTATCAATATAACCAGTTATTGTACTGAAGCAATTAAAGTCAGTTATCGTTTTCAATTAGGACTACACCTCTCCTAGGTCTTTAAGTGAATTAATTCGCCACAACCTCTAGGCTACTCTCTGCCACTGATGTTATTTATTAAAGAAAAAATACACAACAATAAAAGTCAGAAACTTTTAATGGATAATCTCCTGTCTCATGCTCACTATGCTTACTCCCATGTAAAGCCTTCCTTGTAAAATGTAATTTAAATTATCCATCCATCCATCCTTCTTCCAGCTGCTTATCCTCGTGTCTGGGCCTGGAACCTTTTCAAAGCCTATTAAAATTTTGAACGATCGTAAAATCCCCTGAAGCCATCACTATTTAAGACAATATGCTGACAACTTCTTTAACAGTTCAGCTGCCGCTGTAATTCACGTATTTCTTATCTGCCACAATGATTTTTAAAGACATTTGGTTGGCTGTACAGGACAGCCAAGGCAGGTCATTTTTTTTACTGGTTTAAGACACTGAATAAGAAAGAGAACATATCACTGACAGTACATCATGTTCCAGCCAAAAATACATGTGGCAGTTTGTCCAGTATTGAGTCTAAACATCAGTCTTTGGGAACACACCCTTTTTTTACTACTCAGAATTAGTGCACTCCACACAAAGGCTGAAATGGTAGCCAAAGGAGGCCGTGTTTGCCTCGTCTTCCACTAGAGGGCAGCAGTGTCATATTTTGCTGAGTCTCTTCCTGCTGGAGGAGGTCTATTTGGCGTGACCAGGCGCCCCCGATGGGTACCAGCTGAAAGATGCAGTGTCAAATATCTGGCCTACTACACGGCGTGGCTGGGAACGTTGGGCGGGCTGCGAGGCGCACTGCACGCCGCTCCTCATGCTAATGACACATCTGAAATGAAACACGGGCCAAGAGCAACACAGCACCCCGTTAGGGGGGTTACCGCAAGAGCCGCCACCCACGAATCACGTGAGAGCGGCGGACGGCTGGCTTAGCACAGATTCTTCTGGGGCAGCATCAAAACGTCGGCTTCCACCGAATCACAGTAGAATTTCATAGATTCCTTCATAAATTATGCAGATTGTTTGAATGTATTTATTATGTGCATGTATGACATAAGAGGATCAAAAAGTATGGGTGATTACCCCGGTCCACCTTAAGTCACTGTCATGATGCTGTTTAGCATCTAAGGATTCAATGAAAGATGTGTAGTGATGAAGGGACTGGGTGACTCATTGAAAAAAGGCAGGATCCAGTGCTGGGAAGGCAGCAGTAAGAGAGAGCCGTCTCCTTCCCAGGGGCCGAGTGTAAACCGAGATTGGGGCGGACGTCTGGGCTGTGACTGATGTCAGAGTCGATCCCCTGTGTCACAAAGACGGATCAAAAGAAAACACAGCAGCTTTGGGTCCGGAGGCGCAGAGTGACAGCGACAGGTTGTCGGGGGCGGGGGGGATCGTGGTGTGACACGCTGAAATGCGCACACGACGATTCCCAGCAGATCTGCTGCTCCGATATTATAACTTCCACAGCCGGAATATATTGTACCGCTTTTTAAATACAGAGTCTGAAGCACCGCAAAAATTTACATCATCACATGTCAGTTCTCGCTACGCATCTCTGTAATATCAGGGCTACTTCATAATTGTTGGGGGGCATTTTTCCACTTAAAAAAACAGCTTTTATTGTTTATCGTTTGCTGCTGTGCAAATTGCTTTTTGCTGCTACTGAGGTTTGTTTATTAGCCTGACTAGCTAAACTCATTCTCATCACCTCTCCGTCCCTGTAATACATGCACCCGCACGCACCCCATGTGCGCGTACAAAACAGCCGCCTCGGCTTCAGACGCAGAGCCCCGCGGTCGAGGTCGAGCCACAGATGCCAGTAAAGAGAGCGTGCATCACGGCAAAACTATTTGCTGGATAAATGGAAAGGATTTAAGTCTAACCACACAGACACTTTACACTTTCACTGACGCAACAGCCCAAACAAACCGTAGAAAGTGTGGCCTGGTGAAATTCATGGTGTGTGTGTGTATGTTTTTGTGGGGGGGGGGGGGGGGGGGGGTCTCTGAGGATTAAGGGGGTGTTCCATTCCTGGTTGTGACAGAGTATACCATGCATCCGAAATGTGTATGACTCCACTTAAACAATGCTACAGACTACAGTGGAAATATCTGACCAGCAAGTCCATAAGCGTTATTTTAAGCTACAGTTTAGTCCACCGTAAGAGACACTTCAGGAAAAAAATACTAACATGGTTACCAAGATGTATTGAAAATGCGTCCATCTACATACAGCTTGATCTGCTAGGAGCCTAGGAGTCATGATGTATATTCAAGAAATGTATTAAAACATCAGATAACCATAAGTCATATTTACATAAACTTAATAAAAACAGCTACACATTTACCCTTTCTGTGCTTCCCATTATGTAAGTGTCAATTGTTTTATTTCCTTTTATTCGAGAATCAATGCCGAAGGGTGGCTGAGAAGCCTGATTTGACCTGTAGGAGATGAAACCAGACGCTGTGAGCGCTGCGGTCTGGGCAGGTCCGCTTTCATTCAGTCCCACCCGGCTCTCAGTCCCACTCCGCGGGATCTCCGCTCCACACATGGTGCCACAAGGCAGGAGGACACGGCTGAGAGAATGAACGGAGGAACGGTCACCAAATAAGTCAAGCAAAGGTCCAAGTGGACGGCGAATGGTCCTGTAACCTTGGAAATGCTACAGCACAGCACATTCAAATTCTAGAGTGCGTTGAAATTTATTAATGGATTGCGTGCCTGCATGGATTCAACATAAAAAATCACAAGGATAAAATCACCAGCTGGGAAAAAATAGCCCCTTATATGTCAGTAAAACAGAAACACAACTCAAAACCAAATGTGCATGATGGATGTACATAAGATGCATCTAAAATATTTCATATAGTGAATTTATTTATTATATAGATAACTCATATAACTAATAAAAATTGCACTAAAATAAATTAATTTGCCTTACAACTGAACATTTAGTTATACGAATATTCATTTTACCCGCAGAATAAAATGTGCCGGTAATATAGAAGTATGGAGGTTTTCAAAGAAAAAAAAATGCTGAAATTTTAAGTGAAACTTCAGGAAACCTTAAAATAAAGTCAGTCACTAAGATGCCATTAAAATACAGAAGAAAATACAGGGATTTCTAAACCGTTATTTGTAAGATATGAAGTGGGCAGCACGATCTGAGCCGGCTGGCAGCGGGACAGCGAGAGAGCGACTGGCGGCAGAACGGGGCTGGTTTTCGCTTCGCGCTGCTTCGCTTCCGCAGAGCTCAGGTGTGAACGGCCGCATCCTGGCCGCGATTAACGGAACGCGCCGCCGCAGCCGAAACGCAAGCCGCGACCCGGGAGGATGCGCGGGGGGGGGGCACATGCTCGTGTGCGTGCCGGCACTGCTTTCCAGATGTTGTTCGGCGGAGGTTAGACTGTGTCTTGGAAAAAAAGAGGCAACGAGGTAAGAGACCGAGCGCCCCTTTCCCATGTGGGTGTTCGTTTTATATTTTACAGACAATGTTCCTTTAAAAGTCTGCGCCTGGAAATCCCATTAGATGTGCATATAAAATTTCCCCCATGATTAATAGTTGATGAGGCAGGGTTGGTTGGAGGGTACCAACATGTGGCCGCGGGGCCCCTCCTCCTCGAGATCACGTTACACTCCATAAACTTGCCACTCTTTTCCACCTAGCCTTTAAAAGAGAGGTGGGACCTCTGGCCAGGAATGCCTGAGCACTGCGAGGAGGAGCTGGGGAGCCGCGAGAGGATGCAGCAGGCTGTGACCGGGCCCCTCAGCCGCCAGCCTGCACAGTAGCAGAGAGACGCCCGGAGAGAGAGCCCCTGGATGGTCTTCCTGGCATCACGGCCACTAAAGGAGAGAAGCCTCACCCAGACCCGGGAGAGCAGACAGGCTTCCATGTGCCTCTGTTCATGTGCTGACTGGAGCTGGATGCTGTTTGGAATTTCGTCCTAGACTGAACATTTTCCGGAGAGACTTTCCCTGCGTGTTCCGGCTCATGGATCAGCCCGCCAGCAGCTGCATGCGGAGCGCCCACCCGGGCAGCGCCATCTGGGGGTGCATGCGGGGGCACTCAGCGGTGCCGTCGCCGGGGTTACCGCCGTACCAGCAGGGCCCGTTCTCGCTGCACCAGAAACCCGAGTTCCTGGCCTATACGGACTTCCCAGGCTCCTGCCTGGTGTCGGCAGCGCCGCACGCCTACCCCCGTGACGACCGGCCCTACGGCGATCCCGGAGGCCCCGGCTACCAGCGGCCCGATTGGCAGTTCCCCGCCTGCGGGGCTCGTACCCGGGGCCAGGAGCCATGCCCGGCTGGCAGTGGCGCGGCCGAGGTGGATGACGTGGGTCTGGACAGGCTGCCAGGGCCGGTGCCCGGGTGCCTAGAGGGGGAGTATTCACCGCCCAGTATGGCGCCCACTGAGACGGAGAAGAAGACGTCCAAGAGGAAGAGGGAGGTCGCAGGTCAGCAGCGATTCATTTCCATTGGCTGATTCTCATTGATTTAGGCTCATTGATAGGGGCACTAATTTTTGATTCATGTTCATGACATGGTTCCCTCAGTACAGGACAG